ATGTCCAGTGTATTACATTCCTGTTTAGTGATGTCCAGTGTATTACATTCCTGTTTAGTGATGTTCGGTTTTGGTTTCTTGTCATTCCTGAGAACAGAGTAAGTTTCATGTCGAAACTGTTCAGCCACTGGTATCGGGAGACGTTTTTACAATATACAGTTGCCGTCTATTCTAGTTTATCCAACATGAATCTCTGCCAATACAATCTATCCAATACGTTTTCTAATATATGTAACATTTTATAACTCATTAAGTTTTATTTTAGAGTTTAATTTCTGAACAAAATCCGCTGACTACCAAGACCAATGGATTTTCCATTAAAAAGGCCTATTACAAGGTAATTGAGGTATATTCTATGTTATGCATAGCTTAGAATCCAATGTTAGTGATCTTTATATTAAATGTGGTTAGTCTTGAGGACAGAATGTGGTGGGGTTTTTTGACAGTGTTTTATGTTGCATTAGAGGAAGATTTAAAAATGTAATGAACAAGAACATGAAACATAAAAAAGTGTATTATATTAAAAATAATAACAGATGGAATAATTAATTCAAGTTATTTATATATAATCACTTACTTAGAAATAAAGAATGGCCCCCCCAAAGCCTGTTTTGTATTTAATTAAATGTTCAATTGAATTGAATTTATGTTTATTGTTGGTCACAATATCTACCAATCGCATATAAGTTAATCTTTCAGGGATCAGTCGTCGCTCTGAAGTCCATTACCAAGTCCAGAATAGAGCTTCACCGACCACTTCTGTTGGAGTTAAAAAGGGTGAGTTAATGTGTCATCTAAGGAAGTTAAAACTTCTAACTTATTAACGTGTTAACATGGTGAAGTTATATACTGATAACATAGATGTCGGGTGAGTTAATGTGTCATCTAAGGAAGTTAAAACTTCTAACTTATTAACGTGAACTCAGTGTTAACATGGCGAAGTTATATACTGATAACATAGATGTCGGGTGAGTTAATGTGTCATCTAAGGAAGTTAAAACTTCTAACTTATTAACGTGAACTCAGTGTTAACATGGCGTCGAAAGAAGTTATATACTGATAACATAGATGTCGGGTGAGTTAATGTGTCATCTAAGGAAGTTAACACTTCTAACTTATTAACGTGTTAACATGGCAAAGTTATATACTGATAACATAGATGTCGGAAGTAAAATATGGACGAAGGGGCAGGATTAGAAGGGAATCTCGTTTGAAACTAGTGTGGTAGGTGGAAACTAAGGGGGTTTCCGGGCATGGAAAGGTAATGTTTTAATGTTAGAGTGTCAACTTGGGACTATGTTGATGCAATGGGATCTAAGATATAATGGAAATCAGGATAAAAAACAGACACCAAATCTATATGAATATAATAATACTGTCTATTGTTTGTCTATGTAACTACTTTTATGTAAGTATAATAGTACTGTCTGTTGTTTGTCTATGTAACTACTTTTATGTAAGTATAATAGTACTGTCTGTTGTATGTCCATGTAACTACTTTTATATAAGTATAATAGTACTGTCTGTTGTCTGTTCATGTAACTACTTTTATATAAGTATAATAGTACTGTCTGTTGTTTCTCTGTGTAACTACTTTTATATAAGTATAATAGTACTTACTGTCTGTTGTCTGTCCATGTAACTACTTTTATATAAGTATAATAGTACTTACTGTCTGTTGTATGTCCATGTAACTACTTTTATGTAAGTATAATAGTGCTGTCTATTGTATGTCCATGTAACTACTTCTATATAGATATAATAGTGCTGTCTATTGTATGTCCATGTAACTACTTCTATATAGATATAATAGTACTGTCTATTGTATGTACATGTAACTACTTCTATATAAATATAATAGTGCTGTCTATTGTATGTCCATGTAACTACTTCTATATAGATATAATAGTACTGTCTGTTGTATGTCCATGTAACTACTTCTATATAGATATAATAGTGCTGTCTATTGTATGTCCATGTAACTACTTCGCAGGATGTGGATGGATCTTCACTAAAATTGGTATGGAGGTTCATTAGGTCCATGGAGAGATACATATAAATTTTCAGTTTTGTGTTGTTGTTGTTGTGTATGCGTGTGTGCGCGCTTTTTCGTTTTTTGTTTTTGTTTTTTTTGCAATCACATATAAAAGAAGCAACTTTCCATGCCTTTAGATAACCTTTAATTAATCATGAATTTACATAACTTCCGTCCAGGGGATGTGTAGTTAATTAATAATTGAAAATAAGGTGTTTAATTATCTGTTTAGTTAATCTAAACAAAAACTCAAGTTAAGGATATTGCTAACGAATCAAAATTTATGGGAGGGGCGAAGTAGGGCTTACCCCTGTAATGAAGATGGTGGGACAAAATATCCACCCCACTCTGACGTCCATGAGATTTGTAGTAGAAATTAAAGAAAAAGCCTAAACCTTTCTGTTTCTGTTAAATATATTAAAATCAACATTCTCTGTTTAAACAGATGAAAGACTTACAACACAACCACGTTGTTCGTTTTATCGGGGCATGCGTTGATCCTCCACGTGGCTGCTTGCTTGTAGAATACTGCCAAAGAGGAAGCTTGGAGGTATGGGAGAGTCAGTTCAAGTATCTTGTTTTGATAAAAGTCACAGAGTAAAAATAAATTACACAGGCCTGCGATGGTTTTATCGTCTTGAAATGTTTAGATGTTCTACAGTAATTCTTGTAAGCTGAATCCGAAAATGATATCCATTTTTCTCCATCACGTACAGAATTTTCACATAGCGTCATATGTACTTTTAGATAAGCAAATCATTCTGTTATGCCCCCCCCAGTGGCAGAGCGGTATGTCTGCGGACTTACAACGCTAGAATCCGGGTTTCGATACCCATGGTGGTCAGAGCAAAGATAGCCCAATGTGTAGCTTTGGGTTTAATTACAAACAAACACACATTTTGTTATGCTTTAAATGTTGACAACCACTGGCTATAGATTTCTCTAGACCAATCGCGACGTGAGTGTCTTATCGACGTTCCAGAACCCAAACATAAAAATAAACAATTTTCATTGTTTAAACGAAATAATAATATGATCTAAGTAAGACTTCTTTTCTCTTCCCGATTTGTAAAAAATCCTTACCTGATAAAAAAAAATGAATATTATTTTCGAAATCTGCTTAGCTGAATTATGGAAAATCCGTTATTAAAACCAAAACAATTTTTGTTAACTTTAAATTCGCAAGCCTGTGTTATGCATCTTCTTTAAGTCTATAGTTCTATTTTTGAGAACAAAAAAATGACAACAAATCAGTAAGGTGGCTGTGTTAGTGTGTTACTAAAGCATTTACTTTTACATAAAACTGAAAGATTTGTGTAACATATTTTAAATTACGGATTCTATCTTCCCCGATCCTCATAATGAATATTAATTGCTTTAACATTGGAATAGATAGTAAGTCCACGATTTCACTCCTAACAGAAGCTTTGGCGAAATTCACGAAGGCTATCTGTGCTAGCCGTCCCTAAATTAGCAGTGATAGACTAGAGGGAAAACAGCTATTCAACACCACCCACCGCCAACTATTGGACTAATCTTTTACCAACGAATAGTGGGATTGACTGTTACATTATAACGGTCCCACAGCTGAAAGGGAGAGCATGATCGGTGTGATGGGGATTCGAACCCGCGACCTACAGATTGCAAGTCGAACGCTCCAACCATCAGGCCTAAGAGCCACGATAACTCGCAGTAAAATAAGAAAATCTGGTGCTTTAAAACAGTAGTTCCCAAACTGTGGTCTGCGAGAGTCCTCTAAATGGACCGCGGGGTCTTTTGCCCCGCCGAAGTGGTTCGAGGACGAAAAAGTTTGAGAACCCCTGCTTTAAAACAGAACGATAGTGATTACGTTTCAATCAGCGCCTCCTGTTGGCTCACTGGTAAGCCCAAGGGCTTATAACATTAGAATTCATGTAATTATTCTAAATATGAATTCTGATTAGAATCACCTTGTACATCCTGAAAAGATGCATGATGATATAAGACTAGAAGATAATAAAAGTTTTTGAAAGTTTGAGGTAGTAACATACAGTTCTTTGTCGCCCAACCATGTGATGTTTCTCCGTCTGTCAGGTTGTTCCAAAACGGATTTCTGACGAAGACACTGAAGTTTTTCTCTTCAAACTGAACATTTTCCTCTTCGTGAAATAAATTTCTCATTTTCAGATTATAATATTATCATTTAGATTCCGTCTTTCACCCAATATAACTGACGAACCTGTGTATGCTGATCAAATTATGTTTTCATTAGTTATAGGGGTAAATGTAGTAACGTAAGCTGTATTTTATCAAGATAAATGCCCATTAGAAACGTCTCCTACATTTAGGCTTATGTGTTTAATGTATTATGGTTCAAAAATGTAGAAACTGGCGAAACAATGAAATCCATTAAGCCTACATTGTAATTAAAATCACGATTTAACGCAGCTGTTTATACTTCTTATGTTAAAAAACACTCAACCCTCTCAGTGTTTGTATCCTCCATATGCAGATAGATATCTCTTCCCTCAGTTTGTTCCCCAGTGGCTCAACAGTAAGTATTCAGGCTTACGATGCTAAAAATCGGGACTAGATACGTGCGGTTGGCAGAGCTTAGATAGCCCATTGTGTAGCTTTGCGTTTACCAACAATGAAAACAAATCCAGTTTTATTAATTTGATGCAAGCGATTTTTGGTGTTATTTCAGCCAACTGGTAGCGTTTATTAGTTTGTGTTTCTAACCGAAAATTCCTAGACCTATTGAACCGAAGGACATTTGATTACAAAGGTGGAAATAAGGTTGTGTTTTTGAGACTCATTTTGAAGGACTGGTAGAGTGCACTTGTTGAATGGCTCAAAAATTGGTAGAGTGCACATGTTGAATGGCTCAAGAATTGGTAGAGTGCACTTCTTGAATGACTCAAGAATTGGTAGAGTGCACTTGTTGAATCGCTCAAGAATTGGTAGAGTGCACTTGTTGAATGACTTAAGAATTGGTAGAGTGCACTTGTTGAATAGCTCAAGAATTGGTAGAGTGCACT